ATTATTATTATTATTATTATTATTATTATTATTATTATTATTATTATTATTATTATTATTATTATTATTATTATTATTATTATAATTATTATTATTATTTTATTTTTATTTTCAAGCATTTTTTGACTTACTTAGTAAATCAGACTTGCAAATCGGCTAGCAAAAATTAACCTTTTTTAATGGTATTTGGCAATTTAAATTTTACTGCTAATTATTTTAATATTATATACTATATATTTATAATACAATTTAACTATCATATATTTAATTTTTTTTAATGCTACCCGTGCATTGCACGGGGACAAAATAACTAATAAGGATAATCTTATATGTTACAAATAAAACCGGCAATTGAGCCGAGTCTAACCGAAGCCCAAACCAAATTTTAGTGAGTCGGGATAAGTTTGGGCTATTTTATTAAACTTGTTCATTTATGAGGCGAGTTTGAGCCTACTATGGTTCACCCAAATAAGGTATGTCATATCTTATATATAAAAGAAAGAAAAGCTGGACAACCCCAAAAAACCCTAATGGTGTTTCTGTAATTATTTATTTTTAATATATTTTTTCTTCTAATTTTCTTACTATAATTTTCAACAATTATCAATCTCCTTTTTTTTCATCAATATATCTCAAATCTTAAGAGATAAAGATAGAAATTCGATTTCTTAAATATTAATCTATATATTTGGATTATAAATCTTAATAAGCAATATTTAAAAAACTTATGTTATATATAATATGAATAATACTACGTTATTAAATTTTACTATGTACTATATTTTCTTATTAAGTATTAAATTGACTATTTTTTCACTCTTAAAATAATATACGTGCATCGCACGGGAAAAAAATGTTAGTTAAGTTAATAATCAAATAAATGATATATTTATTACTTTATTGTAATAATATAACTCAACCTCTAGAAAAGTGTTAGGAGTGCATATATAATTGGGAAAATTAGCAAACCCCCCTCCCCATCTAGGAATTGTAGTTATGAAAAATCCGCCATTCCCCCAAATTAGAGAAGACTCCCTTAGCTAATGTTCCATCCAAATGCTATTTTCATAAGGGTTAGTTACAGATTACACCCTCAAAGTATACCCCCTTAATAAATATTGATTTTGATTTTTATGTAGTTGTGTTTTTTTTATTTTTAGTATTTAGTTCCTTAATCGACTATGTTTCACCATAGTCGATTAATATGCGTCATAATCAATTAATAAATCTGATTGAGAAAAGAAATGTTAAAAAACGAAAGAAAAAAATATATTAAAAAAAAAAAACAAGAAAAGGTGATGGGCGGTGATAGTGCTGATGAGGTGACATGGGCATAATTGAAAAAAATGATAACTGAAATTAGAAGTGGATTTTTTCAAATGGTGCAACATAATTTGGATTTCTCCCTATTAAAAGAAATATTGAGGGATATATCAAAGAGCCCCTATATAATTACTACTATTTGTTTTATATTTCTTTCATCTAGAACTCTGATTCATTTTTGCTCATATAAGTATTTAAGAATCAAAAATTTGCAACGTTAAACTTCATTTGCTTCAAAGGACTATACTATGGTTTTCATCTTACTTTGCGACTATCATTTTTTTTCTTATTTTATTCTTTATGAGTTTTCTAGATTTTGCTCAATTGCTGCGAAGTTTTTATTTTAAACACAGCACATGCTGCAAAGTTGTAAAGTATGTAATGTATATATTGTTCGATATAAACTCGAAACCCGAAAAATACATAAACCGATCTTGAGCCTATAATAATGAGATCCGATGGTATATAAGCTTTAGCCTATACCAATGAGTTATGATGCTATGTGAGCTGGAGTCAACCGAAGTTCGGCTCACATATCCCGATTGACATTTGCCAGCCACAGTTACAAATAAGTAACAGATTTTTTAAGAGCTTTAGCAAGCGCTACCCCTTTGATAACTCTAATTGTCAGAAAAGTTCATATGCAAAAACAATAAGCATTTACCCCCTCTATATTACCAAGTCAAAGTCACCAGCCTTCTTATCAGCAAATCGTGTAATACACGCGCGGTTGGTGCGACTTGTTGTTTTTTTATGTGAAAACTCTCAAATATCCTCTTAAATTCTTTTTTAAATAAACATATATTCAATTGTGCTTAAATATAAATAATCCAAACTTTTGGACCAAATTGGTAATTTCAGAAATTTCTTTAAAATGCCGTTCTATTCCTTCCTCTCCAAGATCGACCAGCCCCAATCTTCTCCGGCGCCGGCGTCAGAGCCGCCAGCTATGATGCTGGCACCAAGCAATAAGAAGAACAATAAAGCACGGTACACCAACGATATTTCAGATCTGCCTGAGTCGGAGGTTTTCAAAGTGTATTTTTGCAAGTCAATGATTTTTTTATTTTTTTTAATGAATAGGGCTTTACATCCCTCAATTAGCTATTGCTCGTTTGGGCCACAATGAACATTCTCCCGAATTCAAGTTCAACATCAAAGGGGTTGCTGTTAGGAATCATTATTACTCGAGCAAAATATTGTTATTCATTTTCTGATTTTACTATTCATTTTTTCCTTTTAATTTTGGCTAGTTTGGAATCCAACATATGGGGGATTTTGTCCGGGCGGGGGAGTGAGTTCTTGAAGGAAATTAGTTGTTGGCCGTCTCCGGCGAGACCATTTGCAGCGGCGGCGGAGGATGTGAGAGATGAGAAATGAAGAGATTGTGATATATATGCAGGTTTTCTGTATTTCTAATTAAGGGTAGTTTAGTCATTTTATACTAGTCAACGAGCTTTATTTAGATTGGGATGTTGGGCTAAATAAATTTCATCACAGGGGTATATGATAATTGTTTTAACACAAGGATTTTTTCGGCAATTAGACATTTCACAGGGGCTGTATGCAATTAACTCGATTTGTTTTGGTTTGAATGAGTATTAAATACCGCGTTGACAATTTTTTATTCGTCCATTACAATTTGATTAAGAGAGTTGGAAAAGGTCTGCCGATGACTTTCATCAAGTCATTTTATATGTGTATTTGTTTTATGGCAATTCCCCTACTAGTTCCACGTTTCTTCCTCAATTCATCTTCTCCACCGTTGAAAAATCTCAAAAGAGAAGAAAGGCTTCTCTTCTTTCTTCGGATTCCAATTCATCATCAGATTGTAAGATACGACGGATTTTGATTGATCATGGAAAGACATCTCAATATCGAACCTCAAGACCTCAGTTTTATTTGTGAGTTTATTTATTAATTCGATCACATTTAGCTTTGCGGAATGAGCAACGAACTGTATTTTTAATTTATTTTGTTGGCTCGGCTCGATTAGACGAGGTGAAAAAGCAATCAACTTCTTCAATCAAACTGACAAACAAGACCAATCAGCCTGTTGCGTTTAAGGTGGAATTGTGTGGTTTGTTATGTTAATTCATTGTTTCTTAGTGATTGCTTAATTGACTATCATCATTCGTGTGTTCAGGTTATGACTACGAAACCGAAGAGTTACTGCGTCCTTCCGAATATGGGAGTTGTTTTGCCCGGATCGAGTTGTGATGTTTTAGGTACCTCAATATTTTTGTTTTCTTGCGCTTCTCTGTTTTAGATATCTGCTGTTGTAACAAAAATTAAAAAAAAAATTAAAAAAAAAATATTTAAAAAAAAGGTAAATTACAACCACCCCTGAGGTATGGTTAATTTACAAAAAAATCCTTCTTGTTTGGATAATTACATCTACCCCTCAACTATAATTTTTTCTTACACCTCAACCCTTATGGTGTCAAATTCAACATAATCATTTAGATTTCGTGGAATGTGCTCTAGTTTGTACTCGTTTTGTGTAAAAAATCAGTTTCTGATGCACCACAATCTGATATATACAAGCCAAAAAATACATATTATGATCATCTTGCTTCAAAATGTGGGAGTTCGAATGGAATAAAAGGGTATTATAATCTCGAAGATTTCACTAAATTTGAAACCGCAAGGGTGGACATGTAAGAAGATTTATAGTTGAGGGGTGATTGTAATTACCCAAACAAGAGGGGAGTTTTCGTAATTTGACCATACCTCTGAGTTGTTGTCATTTACCCAAAAAAAATAATAATAAAAAAAATAATTAAGCGAACGTTGATTCGTTGTAATGTATGTTGCAGTTACAATGATTGCTCCAACAGCACTCCCTACTGATGTGAAATGTCCGGACAAATTTTTGATTAAGACAGTAGTTGCAAGTTCCGGCGCTACCACAGCAGATGGTATCAAGAAGCTGGTAAAAATATATTCAAAATTACTTGTTAGAACGATTACTAATACAAACAAGCATGACCGGATTTGACTTCACAATTTAACTTATTTTCCTTGTTTTTGAAATAAAAATCTGAAATATGTGGATTGGTATATTTATAATCATGAACATCAAATTTTGGAATTTGCAGTTTGATAAGGAGACTGGATCTCAATTTCAAGATTGCAAATTGGGAGTTTTCTACACTTTCCCAAGCCAAGCCTCGTCGACAGTTATTGAAAGATCATTTTCCACTTCGGTTGGATCAGAGACTACACATTTGAATAATATTAAGGTTGCTTGATTTCACTGAACTATATAATGTATTATTTTCTTTATATGTGTGAGTGGTTGATTTCTCATTCTGACATAAAATAATTTTACTTGCGACGGTCTTCGTCTCTTCAACTTTTATTCCGTTGATTGTAGTTCTTGTGTTTGCTCTCATTTTCATAATATTAATTCCTTTGGTTGAAATGCAAGATGGACATAACCAAACTTGTTCAAATTCAGCCTTCGGACCTCAAGTTTGATTGTGAGTCGTCAGATACATCATTTTAACGCATTCTCTGAGTTTCATACTTTCTTCTATTTTTTTTCTCTCCCTATATTAACTGTTTCTTGATTTCGATTAGTTCAACGGGGGAAGGAGCTCTCTAGTTTTTTCAAAATGACAAATATGACCGAGAGTCATATCTTTTTTAAGGTAAGTTTCCATTATCATCTCAGCAAATCTAATTCTTGCAAATATTCCTACCTTTTTTTTTTTATCGCTCAATCTGCCAATCCTTTCATAACTAACTTTGCCTTGCCTAGGCTTCGTTTGGATTGAGTGATTTAAAATAAATATAAATTGGGATAATTTGAAATCCCGAACAATTGCAATCGAAATGCACCGTTGATTGTTCCTTCATATTTTTTTAAATTGACGTGAATAAACTACATATATCAGTTATATGTGTAGGTGAAGACTACAGATCAAAAAAAATATAGTGTTCAACAAAACATTGGGATTTTGTTGCCGCAATCAACTTGTGATGTCATTGGTAACTATTTTATATTCTTTTTTCTCCTTGAGTATAATATTAGTTTTCTCTATTTAGTAGTATTATAGAGATGAAGTGAACTTAGCCAAAATTTGTTGGTTTTTTTGTGAAGTGAGAATGAAAGCTCAGGAAGAAATTCCACAGGACAGACAATCCAGAGATAAGTTTCTAATTCAGTGTACAGCTGGAAGTCCTGCTGTCACTGTAAAAAACATTACCTCGGAAATGGTAATTACATATGAACAAATTTATTTCTTTAATTGCCCTTTTTTTCCGAGCATATTTTGATCAAAAATATTGTGAAGCTGGATTTTCATTTTTAATAATCGCCTTTAACCGACAACTATGAGTAAGTAGATGATCTCAAATGTTTCTTTCGTTGTAGTTTAATAAAGAAGTACATTTTGTCGAAGAGTTCAAATTGGGAGTCGTCTTCGATTTCCCATCCCAACCACATTCATCAGCTTCTGAGTCATCAGAAATACATTCTTCACCCGAACCAGCACCTTTGCAAGAAGGACGTCTTAATTATATTTCTCAGGTTATTCGCTTTTTTTTTTTTCGTTTTGTAATATTATCTAATTTAATTTTTATTCGGAAATCATGTCAACAATTGGTTGAGATCTTTCAGTTTTAGCCTTTTAGTTGTTATTTTTCAGTGTCAACCACATCAAAAAATAAATAGAGGGCACTCGTTACATCTTAAAGCAATACTTACATTAACTTTAAATCGTTAAAGAAATTAACCATGTCCGATTCATTTCATGGCACGCAATTAACCATGTCCGGTTGCACTCAAACTGATTCTGAAAACCTGATTCGTATTTAAATTGTTTCGTTTTCAGCCGTAGAAACATTTAATTGCACCATATATTTCTGTGATTCTTCTCGATTTTCAAACTTCAAAATTAGGTTTCTCTTTAAACTAGAGAGGATATAATAGAAAAGTTCTTTTTGTGCTCTCTGCAACAAAATAAAATTCTAAGTATTACACTTTAGTATATACACATTTTGCAATTTCATTCTACTTTTAAATTTTATATTTCCTATATTTTAAAGTATTTAAATGTCAGCACTCGACTGTATCACATTTTATATATTTATACATATATTTAAATATAATAACATGCAGGTTATACGAGAACTCGTTGGGAGTAACCGTGCTCTTTCAGTGATGAAAGGCATCGCTGCTAGCTTGATAGGACTAATCTTTTGGCAATTGTTCATGAAAATGTTGCCTCAAATATGGTACTTAATAAACTGAGTTTATACAAACAAATTCATTGATCAATATGACTTGTTTTTTATTGATTGCACGTTTGTTGTGGATTGTGGTGCAGGAGTCTGAGCATTGTGATAGGGATGTTGGCTGTAAAGATGACACAATACTTAGTTTCGAACTCGGTTGAAGATTGGATTGTCAAGAGCCTTGCTTATTTGATCATGCATTTTATGGCTACCGTTTTCGGCCGTAGGGTCAATTCATCTCCAACTCCAGCTTCGTAAATTTTAAATTTTATGTGGATAAGATGATGGATGGCCATTGGGGAAAAACTCGATTTCGCTATCTGATTAATATTTTTTTTTGTTTTTATTGGGTGTGGAAAATGGCAACAAAGGGTTTTTTGTTTGTATATAATATATACACACGTACAGGATTCTTTTGATGTGTGAAACTCTAGTGGTGTTCCGTTGTTTGTATACCTCTTGCATGTTATGTAATGAGGACAAGGAAAGCGTATATATGTATGTATGTATGTATGTATGGCAATTTATGAACTATTTGGCTTTCATTTGTTTAATTAAGTGGATTTTTACCATAATTTTGATGAGTTGACAAACTCTTGTCCCGCAATTTACATTCTAACACACCTTTTTATTATTTTTTTTATTTTTTTTTTTCATTCCATTGTGGGGAGTGGTTAATCCACTTGTGTGCAAGACTGTACACTTTTAATTTACCCTTGATTTTAATTTTTCTACATAGATTTTTTGTTTTAAGCTTGTTGACATTAAATTGGTTTTTTTTTTTTTTAAATATATTTTTTCCCCTTGTTTTCATAACAAAACTCATGATCATCAACCTATATTTTTCACATTTTTTTTCTTCTTCATAATTATCTCAAAATATCTTCACAATTATCTTAAAATCTAACACGAGCCACACTCTAATAGTTATTATATCTCAGAGCAATTCTAATGGAGTTATTAAATGAGTTATCAAATCTCTTAACTACTATTTAACTTCTATAATTTTAAAATTTTGTTCTCCAAAGGGGTTATTAAAATGGGTTTGTATTTTGATGTTTCTCTTCTTTGAATCTAAAAATACTTCCTACAGATTGAGTTATCAAAAAAATAACCACATAACCAACCATTCACAAATTGACATGTGGCAATTACATATAAAATTATCAAAAAACTTCCAATTGATAATAAAATTTGATAACCATTGTTTGAGTAGATGAGTTTTAAATGTATTTTAAAATATTATCTTAAATATTAAATTGAGCATTTGATAATCCAATTTTGATATTTAGCCTTGGAGTTGCGCTTGCAACTCCAATGGGTGCTATAGAAATTTCTCGAAAAGGATAATTCTAATGCATTCGATCCGACTTTCACCTCTGAATGTGACAATCAATTACATATCTACATATTTATAATTAACCATTTATTCATAACAAATAATAAATAAATTATTTATTTATTAATTTGTTCCAATCGAAATATTCAAAATAGTTTAACTATTGCTTAATTTGGATACAACCACCATTCAGCTTAGGTTAATTTTTAATATTTTTTTTTTTTGAGTTTTCTAAACGGATAAATACATATAAAACAAATAACTACGTTGTTTATTTATTTATTTCAATTGAATTATTCAAATTTAAGTCTAATTTTTTTTTTTTGAGTGAAAATTTAAGTCTAATTAAGACTTACTTTGGATTTACTTACTAGAAAACCACCAATCAAATGTGGTCAATATTTAACATATAAGTTTGTTTATAAAAATATAAATTCTACACTCTATGTTTCATTCATTCAATGACAATCCCATTAACTATGCATTGTCAATTTTAATTGATTTGTTCCTTTTTTATTTATACACATACAATTTATCCTCAAATACCTTTATCTCATATATTTTTCTTTGACATCCTAATAGGTATTCTTGCAATATAATTTCAATTATCTAATGATGATTTAATGCGCCAGCTAGTTCAGCGGAACTGGCCCCTTCTTTTTT